AACTCGTGGATACCCCCACAGGATAAGGAGTATTTTATAAAAAAAAAGACATAAAGGTTTCTCTGCTGTCTAAAAGCAAAGCCCATGCAATGAGCAGCGAAACACAGAGATAAAGCGCGATGCTGGGAGACGGGCCACAAAGCACCTTTTAACCGTCCAATGCCCGTCTCTTTTTCCGCGTTTACTGATTAAACTAAAATAGTAGTGACTCTCAAATTCCTCCGGATCATTTTGTTGTGACCTAGATGGATTTAAAAACATTCTGAAAATTTAAAATAGGGATAATGACACAAAGAGTCCATGAACTTTGGCTTAACATATAATGTGATTCCTGAATTTTTAATTTGTTCAATATAGTTCCTGAACTTTAGCATAATGTTCAATGTGATCCCTAAACTTTTTCCATGGACTTTTCGTACATGTTCAATGTAGTTCTTGAACTATATGAAAATGTTCAATATAATCCCTACAGTTGAATTAATGGAAGGACTATATTGAACATTTTAATATAGTTCATGGACTAAATTGAACATGTATCAAAAGTTCAGGGATGACATTGAACAAATTTAAAATTCAGGAATCATATTGTATATTGAGTTAAAGTTCAAAGATCATATTGTACATTGAGCCAAAGTTCAAGGACTATTTGTGTCATTTTCCCTTTAAAATAATCATGTAAGAGAAGATTCAAATCCTTTCATGAAGGAAAGATTCAAATGCTTTCTTTTCCCTTTTACTAAATCAACCAAAGAAAATAACTTTTAGATTTCTCTCCCAATCATTTCTTCTCTCTCTTATTCTCTATTTGGAAAGGTAGAAAACCTGGAAAACCTGGGGAATGAATGAGAATAAAAAGAAAGTAGGGGTGGAGAATCAAAACATCATGTTGGGAAGAACCGGAGAATAATTAGGTGAAGATTTGGGGTGTTAAAAAAATTACCTAGGTCACACTATTTTGGTCTGTGGGCCCATTTGTTGATTTTCAAAAATGCCCCTTTCATTCGGGCTAATTCCCTTAAAAAAAATCCCAAACTTTAGGTCCAATTTCAATTTTGCCCCGAATTTTAACCTTATACTTTAGGACCGGTCCCAACTCTGCCCCGAACTTTTTTTCTGGTCTCTGGAAAAACCCCGAACTTTAGGTCCAGTCTCAAATTTGTCTTGAATTTTGTTTGGTCTAAAAAAAATCACAGACTTTCAATCTATTCTCAAATCTACCCCATGATCCAGTCCCAACTTGACGTGATATTTCCACGTCGGTAACAAATCCACATCAATAAGGTGACATAGAAAATTATCTCCAAAAATGAAATTATTCTAGGATATGAAAATTAGGGACGAGATATGATAATTTTTGGACATAGAGTTAATGGGGACAGATTTGGGACTAGAGTAAAAATTAGTGATTTTTTTTTCAGACATAACAAAATTCAGGATAGATTTTGGATTAAACCTAAAGTTTGGGATTTTTTATGAGACAAAAAAAAGTTCGGGGCAGAATTTAGACTAAACCTAAAGTTTGGGGTTTTTTCTTAGACAAAAAAAGTTCATGGCAGAATTGAGACTGGACTTAAAGTTAGGGTTTCTTAAGGAATTAGACCCCTATAATTCCCCCAAATTTACAACTTTTTTTTCTTGTATTCCTCGTATGCCATGTTATTGAGATATTGAAAAGGCAAAAAAGTCATTTGATGAATAAACATATCCTTTTCCTCTCAATTTCTTTTCTTTCCAAAAAAAAAAAATCAGTTCTCGGTTCTTTACCTTTTTGTCACTCGCAATCTTCCCTCTTCCAACCAACATCAAAACAAATCATTTCTTTCGCCAACTCTTTATTCACCTCCCACTTTTATCTCTAAAACAAAGTATAAATCTTTTCGTCCAAACACAGTACAAATCCAGGTAGTCTATGATGTAATACGACCATCCAAACACGGTATAAATCTCTCCATTCCAAACAACACATTTCATATGCTATCATGTAGGACAAGATCTTTTTATATCTTACTTTCTTGTTTGATGATTAGTTCGTTGTTTTTTTATATACGCATACTACATGAACGAATGTTTGGCATAGAAATCTTTTGGTCACACGATGATTGTTGCCTCATAGTGGCCATGATTGGCTTCAATAGTGGGCCGCCCTCTCCTCTCGACTTTAATTTTCTTCCTCCTTTTTCTGATTTCAATAATTTTTTTTAAATCTTTCTATATCCTAAATGAAATAGATAATCCCAAGGCTCTCTTTTCAATCTAAATGGAAAGAGAGCCTTGGGATATCCTAAATGAAATCTTTCTGATTTCAATATTTATTGGAGGCCTAATTTCCTAAAAAACTCCAAACTTTAGATTCAGTCTCAAATTTACCCGAAACTTTTTTTTGTCTCAAAATAAATCCCCAACTTTCATTTGAGTCCTAAATATATCCTTGTCGTCCAAGTCACCATTAGTTATCCGACATGGCAGTCTAAGTCACTATTAGTTATCCAACATGACATGCCACACCAGACAAAATAAATAAAAAGAAAAAGAAAAAAGAGATAAAAAGAAAGACAAAAAAAGCAAAAAAAAAAATCTGAGAGAGAGAGGCAACCATGGCCGCTCAAGCTCTAAGCTCCTGGCGGTCGTGGCTGCTCATTCTTCCAGCTTGCGACAGCTAGCTTCGAGCTCATGGCGGCCATGGCCATTGAAGTTTCGATCTACAAAGCTCACGGCGGCCATGGCCGCTAGAGTCTCGAGCAGCGAAGCTCGCAGAGGCCATGGTCACTCGAACTTTGGGTGCGACGGCCATGGTTGCTCAGCATGATGTCTGAGCGGAGAACACGAGCAGACAAAGCTCTGTTTTCATTTACTATATGGAGAAACGAGCTCTGTTTTTGTTGTGATTTGAGTTGGTGTGTTTCGAAATTTGATTTGGAAAATGCTCAGGAGTGAATCCCGACATTTGGAGTTCGAATTTGACCTATGTTAGCCGATATCTTTCAAGAATGTGGATTGGGTTTTGGTATTAACTAGCAATAGAGCAAAATGATGGCGTCGCTCTTGCTTGCTTATCTGCTACGTATCTTAACCCTCAAGAGAATTGCTCGCGACTGTTCTCACTTTTAGTGGCTTTGCTCGTACAAATTTGGGCTTGACGGTGAGGTCTCACCTTTGAGGTCTACCTGTAATTCTAAGCTAGCACCTTTCCATTCTATGGCCATGGCCGTTGTCGCCCCTCTCTCTCCCCCCTTGCTCGTCCCCATCTCTGTCTGCTCGCATGCTCCGCTCTATCATCACATGCTCGTGGCAGCCATGGCCATGGCCAGTCGAGTTTCATGCTCATTGCAACCGGGAGCTTGGAGTTTGAGCGGCCATGGCTGCCAAGAGCTTAGAGCTTGAGCGGCCATGACCGCCTCTCTCTCTCTCAAGTTTTCTTTTTTCTTTTTTTGTTTTTTGCTTTTTCTTTTGTTTCTCTTTCTCTCTCTCAATTTTTCTTTTCCTTCTCATGTTTGTTTTCTAATGTGGCTGTACACGTGGATGCTACCTTAGAGAAGTAATGATGACTTGGATGACGGAGATAGATTTGGGACTTCAACGAAAGTTGGAAATTTATTTTGAGACGAAAAAAAGTTCGGGGTAGATTTGTGACTGAAACTAAAGTTTGGGGTTTTTTAGGGAATTAAGCCCACTATCGGATGTCAAAAAGGAAATTTACTACGTTTGGTAGTCGGGACAAAATTCAGGATATGATAGACTTTATCCTATCTCGTGTTTGTGTCTGCCCAAGACAGGATAAAGTTAGATATAAGAGGGATATAACCCATATAAAATTATCCCATGAGGGGAGGTGAGACAAAGGTGGATATGATTTCTAATATCCATAATATAAAATTTATTTTTAACTTGTTAAATTAATAATATTAAAATAATATTTGAATATAAATAGTATTTGAATATTAATATAAAAAATTCAATATAACAATAAATTAACAATAAATTCGTTTTTATTTATTCTTATTTTTATTTATATATTCAAATTTTTTTCAATCTCATGATATAAATTTTATATATTTATATATACATAAATACATTTAGTATTTATATTTATTACATATTTTAGGTATATTTGTATAGTTTACTATTTAATAAAAAAAATTTAGAGAATGATGGAAGGGGAAAAAATAAATAAATAAAAAAGAAAGGGAAAAATAATAAAAAAAATAAGCAAATAAAAATGAAGTAGGTAAGAGTGTCGCGAGAAATTTTTATCATTTCCATTTATGCAATTTTCAGGTTAATTTATACTGATATGATGTTCACAGCAAATAATAAACATAGTAATATGTGAAAATATCTGACTTTATTACTGTTATTCACTAAACAATAAATAGGATAGCAAATCCCTTGAATTTCATATTCTATCATGTCCAATCCTATCCTAGCTAAAAATTCAGACGACCAAATGTAGCCTAAACCCATGAAGAAAGTTTTGAGTTAGAGCTTTTATTTTTATATAAAATATGTTATTCACGCGAAATGTTGAACATCCCAAACTAAAAACACAACAAAAAAAAAACATTTCGAGACTCATAAAATTCGTCACAATTTCTCAAACATAAGATAAAATTTTCGATTTTCATGTGAAATTGAAAAGAAAAACGGCCATTTGGTTATGTTAAGCGTAAACTAAACATGCTCTTAATTTATAAGATAAAAACTTATTGTATATAATTTCCAAAGTTTATTATGATAACTACTCTTGCTAACGTAAGTTTCTCAATAGAAAGGACTAAATCGATAAACGTCGTCGTTTCCACAGCTAACTGAGATCGGCAGCTCTATAAACGCTGTCGTTTCGCAGCTCCCGCGACATGCGAAATGACAATTATACCCCTAGGTCACGCGCGTAAATATATGCCTCTCGCCTCGCCGAGCCCGTACACTCAGTCACTCCTCTCTTTGAACTCTTCGAATTCTTTGTCTCTCTCGCGCCCGGTCTCTATACCTCCGATCCATCAATGGTGAAGCAAGCAGTCCGAATTCTCGTCACTGATGCTGGAGGTATGGTCGGATTCAGATACGCTATTTTTTTCTTCTGTTTTTGTATCTCCTGTGTTGATCCGAGGATTTAGAAGCCTGAACCTGTGTCGTCGATAGTTCGATGCGGCGAGCAGTTCTGGTTTTGTGATCCTTTGGTCTTTTGATCTTCTCGTAAGAGTTTCGTTCGTCTTGTTCGCAACCTGTCGTCTTCACATGTTTCATCCCGAAATTGCCGCATATTTCGAGTTGCTTGTTGACCACTAGCGTGATTACCGACGGAAGAAGTTTGATGCACCCGACTGTATCGTGTGTACTTTTCCAGTTTTCGAATGCACGAATACGTGATAGTTTGTTTGACCATGTCTGACCATGCAGGGCTAGTTGCATGCGATCTCGTTCGTATGATCGCTCTTGGTGATATGCTAGGTCCCGACCAGCCTATGATTCTGCACCTCTTTCATCGTGGGACTCTTGCTGATGCAGATGCTCTCCAAGATCTTAAGATAGTATTGGTGCAATCTCCGCATCCTCTTGTTGAAGGTTTGTGTAGTTTCTCTGTAACTATTAAGCTGCCGGTTTTGTATAGTGTTTTTTTTTTTCATGTAGCATTTGATGATAAATCCATCTAATAGGAGGATCTAATGTGGGACTTGAAACAGGTATTATTGAAGCAACCGACGCTGCTGAGACATGCAACGGTGTTGAATTTGCAATGCTGATAGGAATGGTTCCAAAGAAAACTAGTAGGGAAAGCTTGGTGAACAATTATAGGAACTACAAGCTCCTGGCTGATGCTTTAGAAAATTATGCAGCTGCCAATTGCAAGGTAAGTTTTTTTTTTAACAAAAGTATGTGAATAGGAGGCCATGGTGATGTCAATTACAAGAATTTTGACCTTCCGGCATGCTTCTGAATTGGACCGTATGCCTTTTTTTCGCTTAAATAAAGCAATTCTAAATAAAATAGGATCTGGTTCGCTTAGGGCCCGTTTGGTAACGTGCCAAATAGTGAAAATTTCTGTTCTTTTGTTCCCAGAAATAGTTTGGGAACAGAAATGCGTTTGGTAAACTTTTTGTTCCTCGGCACATTTTTGCAAAAATTTGTGCCGAGAAACAGTTTTGGAAGAGAAACAAGAAGTAAAAAAAAGTTGCTTCTTGTTTCTCGGCACAATTTTGAGAATCAGTTTTTTTTCTTTTTTTTCCTTTTTTTCATTTCTTATTTTGTGTGTTGTTTCTGGTGAGCCGGCCGCCGACCGGCCACGGCCCGGGGGCGGCGAGGCGTCACGGCCCTCGCCGGCGAGCAGGGGTTGGACCCTCGCCGCACAGGCGAGCCGAGCCTCGCCGTCTTTGGGCGAGGCCGCCTCGCCCGGGCGGCGAGGGTCCGGCCCTCGCCCTTGCCGGCGAGGCGACCCTCGCCTCCACCGGCGGCCGGCGAGGGCCGTGACGCCCTTGCCGGCCCTGGGCTGTGGCCGGTCGCCGGCGACCGGCCATGGCCAAAGAAGAAAGTAAAAAGAAAAAAAAAATTTAAACAATTCAAAATATTATTAAAATATTATTTGGGAACAGAAATTTTGTGTAGTTACCAAACGCATTTCTGTTCTTTTCTACTCTAGGAATAGAAATTTTGGACATTTATCAAACGCCTTCAAATACTCAGAAATTATTTCCGGGCACAGAATAAAAAAAAATCATTTCTGTTCAGAAATAGCGCCCGGGCATAGAATGGTATTCATGCGCACCCTTATTGTCAAAGTTTCAAAATTGTGCATTTGATTTGGACACTTGGTTTGCTTTCCTTCCCATTTTCATGGATGATTTAATCTGCAAATAGGTGAAATGCTTTCTCATTTTAAAATCTCTTAATATCTTCTGCACAATAATTTGGTTGGCTAATTGGTAAACGGATGCAACTCTTCATTTTAATCTGCAAACAGTTGAAATGTCATTTCTTCTTGAAATCTTTTAATTTCCTCTGCCTGGAAATTTGGTTGACTAATTGGTAAATAGATACAACAAACACTGCATGGCAATGTATTGAGATGACCGTTGGTCGATGATATTTTAGTTTTCATCTTTGAGTATGGAAATTATGGCAGGATGATATTCTAGAAAGTGTATATTCTAAATCGTAAGGTTTATGACGTACTAGGTTGATCTTCTATTAAGAGTGCGTTTGTTTCACGGAAAATGTAACGTTTTTTGGAAAATATTTTCCGGAAAATAAGGGCCCGTTTGGTAACGTGCTAAATAGTAAAAATTTCTGTTCTTTTGTTCCCAGAAATAGTTTGGGAACAGAAATGCGTTTGGTAAACTTTTTGTTCCTCGGCACATTTTTGCAAAAATTTGTGCCGAGAAACAGTTTTGGAAGAGAAACAAGAAGTAAAAAAAAGTTGCTTCTTGTTTCTCGGCACAATTTTGAGAATCGGTTTTTTTTCTTTTTTTTCTTTTTTGTCATTTCTTATTTTTGTTCTTCCCTGGCTGAGCCGGCCGCCGGTCGCCGGTTGTCGGCGGCCGACCGGCCACACCCCAGGGCCGGCGAGGGCGTCACGGCCCTCGCCGGCCGCCGCGGCGGAGGCGAGGGTCGCCCTCGCGAGCAAGGGCGAGGGCTAGACCCTCGCCGCCGGGCGAGGCGGCCTCGCCCGGATCGAGCGAGGCCGAGCCTCGCCGTCCGTCGCGACGGCGAGGTCGGCCTCGCCCGGGCGGCGAGGGTCCACCCTCGCCCTCACCGGCGACGGCGACCCTCGCCTCCGCCGGCGAGGTCCGTGACGCCCTCGCCGGCCCTGGGCTGTGGCCGGTCGCCGGTCGCCGGCGACCGGCCATGGCCAAAGAAGAAAGTAGAAAAAAAAAATTTTAAACAATTCAAAATATTATTAAAATATTATTTGGGAACAGAAATTTTGTGTAGTTACCAAACGCATTTCTATTCTTTTCTACTCTAGGAATAGAAATTTTGGACAATTTATCAAACGCCTTCAAATACCCAGAAATTGTTTCCGGGCACAGAATAAAAAAAAATCATTTCTGTTCAGAAATAGCGCCGGGGCACAGAATGGTATTCATGCGCACCCTTAATTTTCCAGGAAAATAGTTAGTTTTCCTTTGTTTGGTGATATGTTATCAAAAACATTTGCTGGTATTTGAATCTCATTTAGAAAATGATTTTAATCCCATGATTTTATCTCAGGCAAATTTTTTTTAATATTTTTATTTTTAAAAATAAAAAGAAAGAAAAGAAAAGAAAGAAAAGAATAAAATATTAAAAAAATATAGGGAAGTAATTTCGGAAAGTGTTTTCACCTTCTTAGATTAGGGAAATCAGTTTCCTAATGTTATATATGAATGTTTTCCTTGACCGAAAAGTGTTTTCAGTTAACTAATCATTTTCAGCGAACCAAACAGGTGAAAGTCCGGAAAATGGATTCTCGGAAAACATTTTCCCCGAAACAAACGCACCCTAAGTGCCTATAGAAGTTATTTTCATCAAGGGATGTTTGAAACAATATATATTTTCTTTCTTCTGTAGGTTTTGGTCATTGCATATCCTGTAGATTCGCTTGCATCGACTTTGAAGAAATTTGCACCATCCATTCCTCCCAAAAACATCACGTGTCTCACTAGATCATATCATAATTGTGCATTGGGTCACATTTCGGACAGGGTGAAGGTTTCGGTTGGGAATGTGAAAAATGTTATCATATGGGGAAATCACTCGCTACCTCTACATTTCGATGTCAACCATGCTACTGTTGACAGATTATCTGGTGAATATACTGTGCGTGAACTCATCAACGATGATGCATGGTGAGAAAAGTGTCTATGTGTTGATTTCTGACAGATTTAGTTTTTGAGTTATCTGAATTTGTAAAATTCTTTATTTACTGAAGGTTGAATGGAGAATTTATTACTTATTTCCAACCACGCGCCGCTTTAAGTATTAAAGTTGGGAGAGATTCTGGTGCATTTCTTCTTGCCAGAGCTGCCTGCTGCCACATCCATGACTGGGTGCTTGGAACTCCAAAAGTAATGGTGCCTGTTTCCTTTTCCTTTTTACTTGATCTCAGTTAGCTTATTAGTTCGGCCTGTTTTTTCTAAACTCTTGTTCTCTGGACTGCACATTCTCGTGGGACGTGGGTTTCCATGGGGGTGTTTACTGATGGTTCTTACAATGTGCCCAAGGACCTCATCTTCTCCTTCCCGGTAACTTCTCGCAATGGAGAGTGGACCATCGTGCAAGGTATAGAAAATTCTGTTTTCCCATTAAAACCAATTACAATCTTCATTTTTTGCACTTTGTGCTAGCAAATTCTGTCTAGCAACTGCCGGTGGTCAGAGATATTCCACGTCATACTTTTCAAATTTTATTTGTACATATTTCATTCTAAAAATGAACACAAAACTGAGGAGATCAAGAACCCAATAGGATCAACATTGGACCAGAGGCAGTGAGTAAGTTGAAAATCTATTGCATAAATCAAGCTCGAGTACCGAACAAAGCTCGTCCCACTTGGAAGACGGGGGCCGAAAATCACAAGTCTAAAAGGCCTTGGTTGTCTTAATTTGAGCTTAAATCAGCCCATCAAGCTTAATTAGAGAAAAGCCCAAATTAATTCGGCCCATTTGGAATTAAATAAAAATTAAAGGATAAAAGCCTAAGCCTAAGCCCATTAGGTCTAGGAAGCCCGACCAATTAACTTAGGGTTGCGATATAAATATGTTATTATACCTCTCAATCAAGGGGGTTCTGATAATTTTCAGAACGCAATTCCTGAGAACACGAGAGACACGTGAGAAAGAAAAAAAATTGATAGAAATCGGTGAAGCAAAGTTCAGTTTCATTGCTATCCTTAAAGCAAGATGTTGTTTTTAGCGAAGTAAGCTGGACGTCTTCAAAGCATCCTTAGCAGCGCCGAGCCACTCCTGATCGCCGTCGCTGCCACTGTCGATCCGTCGGCCACCGTCCCGATCTACCATCCCGATCCGCCACAAATTCAAATTTGGAAAGAAATCTGCAAATTAGGTAAAAATCTCTATCCGGTATATTTTCAAAATATTTAAATTCTTAGTTTGAATATTTTGAATATTCCGTGAATATTACGTGATTGACTAGATATCTTAGGATAATGCTTGCTTTGTCCGCAATGTTCTAAAATACTCAAAATTAGGAATTTTTCCTAATTTGGCAATGTATCTGGACGACTATCTGACCTTATCCCTAAGGTACGATACGCGGCGATACGAAAAATCGTTATCTTATCCATAATCACTTGGATATGATAATAGATTTTATTCGTTTTCCAAATTCGAACAATCAACTTTCCGTCGATATCTATAACCTTATAGATATAACCGTTAGTTTGATTTCTTTTCCTAATCCAAATTTGATAAGAAGAATCTTGCTGATTGCGTGTATTGTTTGAGTGCGGTTGTCATCTTTATTTGATTGCTTTCTTTTTTAAATAAAGAAAATCCAAAAATATGTTAGTTAGAATTTAAATTAAAAGTTTGCATGCTTAAAGAATCCTAAATATATCCAAGAGAGTAAGATAATTATTTGATTTAAATTGGGATTTAGAGTAGCATATTTCCCAGTTTAAATTAGAAATTGTTTTAATCTTTGTGGATTATTTTGGATATTTAGATTTCGAATTTCCATGAAAATCCCAAAAAACAAATGAGTCACTTTAGGACAGATTAAGATAGATTGCATGTTAAGTTAGACATTTTTTTATTCCGAATTTTATGAGAAAAATACAAAAAATAAATCATTTGTCCGTCATTAGAATTAGGTCACGTCGTCGCATGACATATAGTTTGCATGCTAGGTTGCATTAATCGCATGTCATTTTTTGCACGTCATTGCATATAGGTTAGTTTGCATTTTAATAAAGTGCAAACCCTAAAGAACACCTCGAGTGCCTTGTTTTGTTAGTTAGAAATCATATTAGGATTGTCTGTGTGATTTTCTACTAACAATGCAGATGCTTGCGTTGCATTAAGGTACATCATTTTCCTAATCTTGCAATCTATTTATTGCTTTCTTGGGTGTTAAATTGGTGGTTTGCGCACTCGCATGAACACCTCACATGTTAGTGATTAGGTAATAAAATGGATCCAGACTGCCTGCATAAATATTTTTTGAAAAGAAAAGGTACCGAAAGGACGTTAGATTAGATCTAGCGTAATCAAGTCCTCGAGCTTAGAATCTCTGGTTCGTAGGAATAAAACATATCTCCCTATGTTTTATTTATGTTTCTAATCGACCTACTACAAATAGATTAGTGGCGACTCCAAGCATGAAAACTTTTGCATGTCAAAAACTTAAACCCTAAGTTGTGAATTGGTAGGGCTTAGGAGGGCTCGAGTTAGGCTTAGTCTTAATAATCTATTAGCCTGAGAAATTTAGGTTGCGACAAGGAAGAAGATGGATTCGACAGCGGAAGAACTTATGAAAGAGCACTTGTTGACTCTTGCCTCCATTGAACGTTATTTCATGGGTAGTATAGTGCTTGAAGCCCTCACCACCACCACCGTACACAGTCCCCTTCCCCTCTGTTTAATTTCACTATCTAATGTTGATATTTAAACACTCCTTTGCCTATTGTATGTGCTTTTGAGTTTTCCTCGTGTTGACTAGTTAAAACAAGTCGTGTTCGTTATTGCCATCCCTATTGCCATGGAGAGAGTATGTTCAGTCCTAAAGAAGTGGGATTGAAACATATTTTGAATGTCCTTCATTTCTTATCAAGTTCTGAGACTCGATGTGTCGTCCACTTGCAAAGCAGGCAGGTGCGAATTACAAGTAGAGGTCAATCCAGAAGAACCCAGCCTTCTCCTCATCCAAAGAATTGCTTCCAGGGCTGGATGAGCTCACTTCCCCCTTCCTCTGATGAGGATACATCGATCGAGCATATTCAGAAATATGCTCGGCAGTTCTAAGATGCAAGCCGACATACACCACAACTTCAAATGGAAAAGTTCTAAAGGGTGACCTAACCTCCGGTGCATCTTACTGTTGAGTGATTTGCCTAGCGGTTGATGTTTCTTCGTGTGTACGAGGCTCGGGATAATTCCAGATAGTAGGTCTAAATCTTGTTACAACAAGGGAGATGCGCGCAGAAACTCCCGGTTACTCCCAAAGAGAGGTCTCTCAAGAAAAGAAAAGTTCAATTGGGCAACCTAAAAGGACAAATGGAAAAGAAACTTGGTTTATCATCATTGGTGGACGAGAAAGGTATCTTATCTGCTGGAGATGTATATGGAGTGAATGATCAGAAACTATTTTGATGGTAACCTTGCTGATGCTATGTAATCGATTTATAAAGAATTGATACACACTTGATCGCAAGTGGTGAAAGGTAACCTTAATTCCTGCCTCATTAGTTCTTTGGAACTATAAGGAGTAAAGTGAAGCTAATCAATTGACTTAACAGAAGGAAGTTGCAACACTTGTGCAGAATTGTCTTCTTAAATAGCTTCTTTTACTCAAAAAAGCGAGAGATCTGGATTGATCAAAGAAGGGGAGAAAACCATTGATTGATACCACTATCCAATAGCCAAAGTTCACCCAATATTCAGTTCATACACATAAATTTCACATCTCTAAAATAAACCTAAGAGAAAATATCAGCAGGAGCATGATCCTGAGAATTAAATTTTGAGAGAATGAGACCAAGCTATGAAACAATAGAAACATTTGGCAGCCATCAAACTCAACCTCCAATTTTTTGCATAGAAAATTTAGCAGAATGACCAAATAAAAGAATGTGTCTTGAGCAATCAAAGTACTTTTCACAAGCCTAACTCATTTACCAAACCAATTTTACTGAATCCGATTTTTACAATCAATCCAACATTATCCAGACCCGAAATTTTACAACAAACATCCTACCGTAAGTACTTCTAGAGAACAATTATGCACCCTAAGCAGTTATTAGCCAAAGGCAGTTTGTAAGCAATGCCAACCATCAGGTCAACTTACTTTGGTAATTTAAAAAAAAAAAAAAACCTTCCCAAAAATACTCTTTCATAGTTTGCACACCTTTCCGGATGAGCTGATTTGTTCATCTCCATCACGAAAGTAGCATAGCATATCCGTGTATTGAGAAGCTACCTCATTATTGGCATGCCATTTAGAACCGATACTTGAAGTTCAAAATACAAAATGACACTCCATAATTGATGATTCCAACATCTATTACTTTACTTGGTCATCTCTAAATTTAACCTTAACTGCTCAAGATTCACCAAGAAGACCAAAATTAACAACATTTAATTGATGCTTCTGGTAAAACAATTTAGCTCATCGCATTGAAAGCCGATAGAGCAAATCTCCCATGATTGAGCAATCTTTCACGATCCTTGCCAATCCCATTGATAGAGCAATCTTCCACAATTTGTGAGAATTCCGTTAATAGAGCAAATCTTCCACAATTTGTGCTAATATTGTAGATTCTTACCTTATGTAAATCTTTTCAATTGTGATTTTTCCGCTCCTGTACATGTTATAAATATAACACAAATCTCCACACCGATGAGTGCGCAATCAAAATCAAGTTCATACCCTTTCATGATATCAAAGCTTCTTAATTTTTTTCTCATCTTATTTCTCTTCTTCATTACAATGTCTTCTTTCACATCCTCCGACACTATTACCACCACCGCTGCTAGCTCTATGTCCTTATTGGCCCCCTCCCACTCCCAATCACCCTTTACTCTCAGTAATCTATCTCATATTCTCCAAATCAAGCTAGATCGCAACAACTAACTTTAGTGGCAAGCACGGTTTCTTCCTTTATTTCATCTTCATGAGTATCTTTGATTTGTTGATGGCTTATATTCTTGTCCGGCGCCTACTATCTTTGATGCTGATAGTACTGTGACCATCAATTTGAATCATACTGCATAGCATTATCGAGATCAACTCATCCTCTGTTGCATCCTCTCTACTCTTACCGAATTAGTTTTCGCACACATTTGGTTTTGAGACGTTTCATGATGTTTGGACTTCGCTTGAGAAACTTTGTGCTCCTCCATCTCAGGCTCGCATAACGCAATTGGAGTATCGGCTTTGATCTCTAAAGAAGAGCTCTCTTTCCATGGAAGCCTTTGTTCAAAAGGCCAAGAACATTGCGGATCATCTTTCTGCGGCTGGCTCATCCGATTTTGGAAAAGGACGAAGTGAGCAAAAGGCAGTTAAAGGGAGCAAGAGCTTTAATGATGTTCTGAAAAGCCTCTCTTTTCTCTTCTTCCCCTTGTGTCCTTTCATATCCTCTTTCTGCTGCGCTCTCACGGAGTGAACATTAACTTCTTCTTTTTTCGCAATTTGTCTTCTTCCGGTGATATATTTGCTGGTGATCTTATACTTTTTCGTCATCTTCTGAAAGTTTGATTCCGTGACAGTCATCTTTATCAGTGCTACCACTATGATGAGATTCACTAGAGAAGGCTCTTGACTTGATCTCTGATATGATTTTTTCCAATGCAGCAACATAACACTGCAAATTAAGCTGCACCACAAGATTTTTGTTGTTGGAACGAGGCATTTTTTTATTTGTTGGTAACGGGGTGAATTTCCGAATGATGTCCAAATATTTTTCTCCTGAATTTAAAAAATGTTCATTCTGAATTTCAAAGAATCATGAATGACGTTTTAACCCATATTTTGAATATGCCATTGTCTATATAGATGGTGTCTTAATATTTTCCTCTAATATTGATCAACATTTCAAACATATATCTGTTTTCATAAGTATTTCTAAGAAATATGGTCCAGTCGTATCTCCACTAAAATATCACTTTTCCAAACAAAAATTAGTTTTTTTGGATATTACATTTCTCAAGGAACAATTATCCCAATAGAAAGGTCTTGTTTACTTGCAGAAAAATTTCCATATGAAATCAAAGACAAAACCCAATTACAAAGATTTTTATGAAGTCTTAATTATATTTTAGATTTTTTCCCAAATATTAACATATTTTGTAAACCTTTGCATCAAAGACTACAAAAGAATCCTCCACCTTAGACATCAACCCATACTAATATTGTTAGACAAATTAAAACTCATGTCAAAGAAATACTATGCCTCCATTTAGCCGATCCATTTGCTTTCAAAATGGTGGAAACAGATGCTTTAGAAATTGGTTATGGAGGGATACTCAAGCAAGTAAAAATTAACAAAGAACAAATTATTCAATTTGTTTTTAAACACTAGAATCAAACCCAACAAAATTATTCTACTATTAAACAAGAATTGTTAGCAATTTTTTTTATCAATATTTAAATTTCAAGGAGATTTATTAAAATAAAATTTTCTTTTACGAATTGATTGCAAGTCAGCAAAAGAAGTATTGCAAAAAGATGTATTAATTATTGCTTCAAAACAAATTTTTGCTAAGTGGCAAGCCATTCTATTAGTGTTTTTACTTTGACATTGAATTTACTAATGGTTCTTCAAATTCTTTGGCTAACTTTCTCACAAGAAAATTCTTATAGGGAAAACAATCATGCCTCCAAAATTATCAAGAAAAGAAAAGAGGAAAGCAATTGTTGAATTTTCAAAATCACAACCCGAATCACATAGCCACCAACAATGAACCAACTTCAAGTATGGTTAGACATCATTAAAGTTGAATCATCTGGATCGGCTCATATATCCCCATTCCTATCGCAAATAGACCAATTACTCCCAGAAAAAAAACTAAATTACAAAAACCCCATACAAGATCAAGTACCAAACAATCACAATCACTTTCTTCTCCTATCAAAACTTGGGCATACATAATCTAAGAAGAGCCATCAAAACAAGTTCAAGATTACTTTAAACCCATCACCATTGGCCTCCCAAAAACCAAAGGACTTGCCACCATTGAAAAGAATTTTTAGTGAAGTGGTTATAAGAACACCAATGACCCCTTCCATCGTATCCCAAAACCAAGGATCACAGTTCTATGTAAGATCACAATTTATTACACAAAGCCAATACCAATTAATCATGGAAGTAGAAAAAGGATTTTATCATGAAAACCCAAAAGTTTTTGCAAAAAACATTTTCCCCGAAAACTGGCATTAAAAACCATATGATTTGTCAAAACCTCATGCTTGTTATGAACAAATTATGACGGAAACTCAGCTCCTCAAAATCCAAACAATATTACTCATTCCATAGTCACAATCCTCTAAGTCATTTATCTTAATACGTGGAAACCTACCCCTCATACTCCTTTGAAGTTTGAAGCCCGATTGACTACCACATTACTATATCTTCCTACCTACACTTACTAAGATTACCAATAGGCATGGTGGAATAAATTTTTCCGACAAAATAATGGATATCGCCACACTTGGCTTTTGTTTTTTCAAGACATACTTTCCCACAGAACAATTATTTTATTGGTTTAAACGTTGGTGGGATCACTTTGGCTCATTTCCAACCCACATCCCATGAATCAAAATTTCAAATCTCATGCATTTTCTCATCAATTTCAGAATTTCTAGGGTTGAAGTCTGAGAATTTAATTTCAATGCTTTAA